ATGGGAAACACTAGGTCAAACATTAGTGGAATATATAGTTTCAGAGGGAAAAATGTTAGCATTCAAATCAGACATTAACTTAAAATATTTAAAATAAGCTCTTTGTGAAAAAGGATTGGCCTGGTGAATAAACCCCTTTCTATTGTTATTTGTCAAATCTTTGGACAAGGTTCAGTGAAAGTGGCTTGCCCATGAAAAAGAACTGCCAATGAAACGACCTTGAATGGATCTGTTGAATACACGCAGTGTAAGGACAAGAATCTGGCAATGGTAGTTTCCCCTTATAAGCCTATTTTGCTTTTTCAATGCACTCTAAAATTGGAAAAGATTAAATAAAACTGCATTGAGCAAACTCTGGTCGATCTATTGATTTCCTACAAACATTTATTGGATAATCATATAGATCTAAAGGTTTTATATTCCTTTCCATTAAAGAGAATTTTAAGTTTCATACACATACTTTAGCGACAGTTAATTGTGATTTTATGAATATTTAGGGCAAGTCAACATCTTATTATTTTTCTGTTGCGTGCGTTTCAGGATGAAGGTGACGACAACTCCAGCGCAGGAGTTGGCGCTCTCGAATTGCGCCTATTGCTCTGCTGCAGAAATTGCCAAATTCTTGCTACCGGGGAGAGACTATGGCTGGGCACTCATTGGCTCAAACATGGTTCTCAATGTGAAATATCCTTCTGATTAACCACGTTTTATCAGTTTTTCTTGACGTGTCATATAATACAGCTCATGAAAGCATACAAGAAGGCCAGATTGCGCTCAACGCAATCCAACGACGGAATGCAAAAGTTTCATCCGGGGATGAAATTTCTGTAGCCAAGTAAGAATCAAGCTCTTCCAGTTCAATAACTCTAATGCATATCCCAGATTTCTCGCCCCAGACAAGGGCTTTAAGCTCGTCGTGGTAAATCTTGAGCTAGAGTTTGTGAAGGCGAAGGGTAAAAGTGAACAGGTTTTTCCTGTCCCTTTTCTGGTTTTCGACCTGGCTTACAAATGTAAATAAAATGCACAGCTTGATGCTCAGACTCTGGGACAAGAGCTTCAACGACGGTTTGTCTCACAGGTCAGTGTCAAGAGTCTTTTCTTAGCTTGAGCAAGGTGAGAAAAATGACATTGCGTTCGTAAAGGTCTTCACTGTCGGCCAGAAAGCAACGTTCGAATACTGTGGTATCAATTACGTTTTTAATGTCTCACATACATTGGTGGAGGGGCAAAAAGAAAACGACACCAACGTAATACGTGGAATGCTTTGCCCTGAGACAGCGTTTCTGTTTGAGACAAATCCTGGCTCAGGAATCAAGGTAATGCAAGTTTAAAATTAGTGGTCCTTATCTGCGAAGTTTTTAGATTGTCAACCAACGTGGTGGAACAACTAGTAATATCTTCAAACAAAAAGATCTGAATTTTCAGAAGCTGGGGATTGGTGGTTTGGACTTACAATTCCAGGACATCTTTCGTCGAGCTTTTGCATCTAGGGTTTTTCCACCTCATGTAGTCAGCAGGTATACTCTATATCCGAGAAGTTTAACTTGAACTTGCTCAATGTAAAGGTTGGGAATCTCTCATGTAAAGGGATTGCTGCTTTTTGGCCCTCCTGGTACTGGGAAGACATTGATTGCTCGGCAGATCGGGAAAATGTTAAATGGGCGTGAGCCAAAGGTAAATCATGTTCCCCATTCTTCGTGGATAGCATGTCGTACTGTTTTTTTCGCTAAGGTTGTCAATGGACCTGAAGTTCTCAGCAAGTTTGTTGGAGAGACAGAGAAAAACATTCGGGACCTTTTTTCTGACGCTGAAAACGACCAAAGAATGCATGGTTGTGCCGTCTGGAGATTAGAGCTATAATGAAGCCTTTATCTCTATTCTGCAGGTGACCATAGCGAGCTTCATATTATTATATTTGATGAACTTGATGCAATATGCAAGGTACATATTTCTCCAGACATTAGGGCATATTTTATCTGTTTCAGCAGCTTTTATTTTTGGCAGGCAAGGGGTACGACCAGAGACAGTACAGGGGTCCATGACGGGATTGTCAATCAGCTGCTTACAAAGGTTGGTTCATAGATTATTTCTCTCTGTTGTTTTTGAAAACCTTCTATAGATTGATGGCGTCGATTCACTCAACAATATACTCCTCATTGGAATGACCAACCGGAAAGATTTGCTGGATGAAGCATTGCTAAGGTCATATATATTATGGTGTTTTATAACTAATATTTAAACCAGACCAGGGCGTCTTGAGGTGCAAATAGAAATCGGGCTGCCTGACGAGAAAGGGAGACTTCAGATTCTTCGAATCCATTCAACTCAGATGAAAGAAAACTCATTTTTGGCTTCTGATGTGAACCTGGAGGAGCTTGGTAAGAAATCACTTCAACAAAACTAGAATTACTTGTGTCTTTACAGCTGCACGAACAAAGAATTTTAGTGGTGCGGAACTAGAAGGTCTGGTTAAAAGTGCAGTATCATTTGGTCTGAATCGACAAGTCAATGTGGAAGACTTATCACAATCAATTGATGAAGAAAATATCAAAGTGACAATGAACGATTTTCTTCAGGCACTACATGAAGTCAAACCTGCTTTTGGCGCCGCTATAAACACTTTAGAGATGTACAGGTGCAGTTTCTGCCTTGAAAAGCAAATAATAAATCCTTATTTCCATTTTCAGGACAAACGGCATGCTGAATTGTGGAGATAGACACAGACATATAAGGGAGACTGCGATGACGCTTGTAGAACAGGTGAAGAGTAGTGAGCGCACATCATTGCTTACTTTCCTTCTTGAAGGACCTAGTGGAAGGTACTGTTCTGTCATTCTTTTGATTTTGCATCACAATTTTTTCAGTGGCAAGACGGCTCTCGCGTCAACAGTTGCAATTGACAGTGATTTTCCATACATGAAGATTGTATAAACTTTCGAGCATAGTGCATATTTTAATTGGTATTTCTAATTTATCAGGTTACATCTGAAAACATGGTTGGACTGACGGAGGCCACCAAGTGTGGATTGATCACTAAGGTGACAAATTTGCTTATATTTAATATTACAATTATTAATGTATAGCTCTATTCGACAGGTTTTTGAAGATGCTTATAAGTCACCATTGAGCATTATTATTTTAGACGAAATTGAAAGGTAAATATTTAAAATATGTAGGTAGATACCATTTATTATGCAGGTTGCTTGAATATGTGAATATTGGCCCACGTTTCTCCAACGTCATACTTCAAACACTATTTGTTCTCATAAAAAAGTTACCGCCCAAGGTTGATGCCTTGTCATGCTGAAGCTATTTTAATTGAGCATTATTCAATTTAGGGTAAGAAGTTGATGGTTATTGGAACTTCAAGTATGGTTCATGTACTTCAGTCTATGGATCTTGTGGGTGCATTCAATGTGACTTTAAATGCTCCAAACCTCGAACCCAATGACGTGAAAAAGGTATAATTACCCTAAGTAGCCCAGTGGCAACCCAAAGACTTTTTCAGGTCTTGCAAGAAATTCGTGTGTTCGCTCCTCAAGACATTGATACAGCCGTGCGAGCTTTAGACCAAGAGGTGCCTCATTTAAGCAGTTTCATATACCAAACTCTTGTCTTCTACAGATACCGATCAAACGATTATTGATGCTGGTAGAAATGGCTGCACAAGGGAAAGGGGGTGAAGGAGCTGCGGATGTTTATGCTGGTAAAAAGAAGATTGACATTAACCACTTCTTTGAGTGCCTTCATGACCTTGCATGAATGAGCTACCTAGCTTGCTTGTACTTGTCGTAGAACTTTCTCTTCTTTTTTTTTCCTGGACGTGAATTAAAATACCAAGCTGACAAAGTAAATTGACATAGATGAGTAAGAAATTCCTTCTTGTTGAGTCTGATGTTAAGCATTCCATTTAACATGTTTTTCTAGAAGTATTCTTAAAACAAGTACGACCATACTTTACTGACATCTTCAGGATTTGTTAGATAAGAAACTATCGATGACTGAGGATTAGCATTCACAAACACATGAGAGTTTGACATAGAAAAACTTTAGCCAACTCACTGGGTTCTTTGGGAACTTCCAAGAGAATGCCAATTTTGGCTCAAACGACAGGCCCATGGCTGCAGAACGTCTGCAACCATTTCATGTTTTATGACGGAGGAAGCGAGTGGAAAAACAGTAAGAGAGATAATGGGAAAGAGCTGGAGGAAGAGTTTAGATTGTTTCAGTTTATAATTTTATCCACATATAGTTGAGATATCTAATCCCTTTGACAGTTATGCTGAATGGTTTGTATGGAGAGAGACAAATGTCCAGGTCAATTATATTATATAAAGACATCAGCTGTAACTCATCAGGTGGTTGTTCATGACTCTCGCTGTTGAATTTCCAAAACAATCAACTTCCACATACATCCCTACTTTTTGGCATTCTGGCTTTTGGAATTTAAACCATAAAACTTCTTCCTTCTCTTTTTTGATTGAATCTTCCTTTGAATCTAGTTCTGACCAGAGCACACTTACATACGTGTTATGGTAATCCTTCCTTTTGAGGTGTGTTACATTTAGTCCAAATTTGGTTCTGATCTTGTGCATCCACCCTCCTTTGATCAGTGTGATGACTAGCAGGGATCCCAGCTCTGCTGGGATAGTTGATTTAATAATTCCTCTAGAATTTTCATTATCTTATAGAGGGAATAATTTCTTAGAACTTGCTTCTACTCTTCAATATGTAACAGTCTTTTGGTTTGCAGGTTTCTTTGTGAGTGCACATTTAGTCCCACTGTAACATGCTGGTCCTAGTTCAATTCTGACACTGTTGATGCATTTGAGAAAAGAGTTGACTGTGCTTAAGTTTACTATAAAAAAACATAAGAAGGGCTAGCCAGTAGCAATAGGAAATTTTGATTGCTCACAGCAAGCAAGTTTCTTCAAGAGAAAGCTTTATCATATTCAATGGTGTCCTTTTTATGCTACAGTATGTGAATTAAAACACATGTGCACTATTAAAAGTTCTGGAGTGGCAATCCCATGAATTAAGTCATTTCATCTACTTTTGGAATCACGTGCTACTATTCTTTAACCCTGTTAAGCTTCCATAACCATTATTATCTTGCTGCAGAAAAGCATCAAATAAAGCTGATGTATGTTAGGTGTGGGTATTTATGATTGCATTATTTGATAATTGGATATATAGTGAAAGTCACTTTCTTTTGCAAGTTCCTTATAACTGCAAGAAAAATCACATGTAACTATTTTAAGAGCATGCAAAAGATTAATGGAATCCACATACCTTAGGTGTCAAGACCGAGTATGTAAAACCTGAGTTTCTCTATGTCTTAGTATCTTTTGAGCTTACTACAGATCTTGAAATTGAAAATATTCAAGTGGACACCATCAATGTGCAAAGAAAATGCAGGATATTTCTCATCTCAGTTCCTTGGTTGGCAATCCTATGATTTCTTGTGCAGCCTCTTGAAATGCAACAGCCCACATGCTGCTGCTATCCTCTATGCACATCTTTAGAGCATACTTGAACTCCACCTGTGTTGTCTCAATATTGCAAGAGCTGCAATAACCAGCCATCTGCTGTTCGGGTAGCATTTTTGCCACATTGCCATCCATTCATGAGATTAATACATGTGCTGTAACAGAACTCATCTCTCTTCATTTCCTTCACAATAGCTATCACTCTGTAAGCAGGGGTGCTTTCCAACACCTTTAGCTGCATGTTTGATATCTCTGACAAAGTTGTGGTGTGGCTAACAGTCTGTCTTGATGATGATGTGCTCAAATGTATGAATTTAGTGACATTGTAGTACAGTGACCTCCACTCTCACAAATCAGTCACTGGTTCTATTTCTGGTTCAATGAGAATAGTGCTCAGACCAATTGCTGAAATTGATTTATCATTCCACCATTGACACATATAATTGGCTGAACCCCATATATGAGCCTTCTTCTTCTGCTTTTAAATCCCACAGGCACAGGTCAACACTATGGCCCGATTTGTCACATAGACACAGTGTTCTCTTCTTCACAAAAGATCCATTGTCATGCGATGTCATAGTAATTGCAAATGCATATTACAATGCCAATCACGTCAACGAAGGAGTGCTTTTCCACCTGACACGCCTCTAAGATGCTTTTTCTTGCCAGGACAGTTTTTGGGAATGATGTATGCTCATCCAGTGCTACCTTTGCTAGCTTGAATATCCCAGGTCGCTTTAGATGGTGTATGCCTGATTAGAACGTCGTATTCCACCAAATGAATACACAGTGCCCTGAACAATCTTGGAAAAAGCCACCACACAATCATCAGAACTGACAATTCTGATCTCAGTTCCTGGGAAATCAACAACGTCAAATGACGTCATGCATCTAAACCTTTTCGTGTTGAAATGTCTCAATGTTCTTGTGTGTAACTCTTGAGCGGTATGACCACCTGTAAGAACAGTCACTGATATCTTTGATGTACACCCCTTTTACAGTGGCCCTTACAGGAATGGAAACTGTAATATATTGTTCTTCTGTTTTTTCTTTGCCAGTCTAATGCATTGATGGTGTAAGCGTCCGATTGGTTTGGAGCTCCGTGCCTCAAAGCGTCCTCCTCGATCACTTGGATAGCTTGTTCCACCACTCCCCTCTTAAAATGAGAAAACAGAGGATTGTGCTTGCAGAGATTATCTCCTCCAATTCTCTCGAGAAATTTACCGAGAATGGCCACTTGTTGTAAGGGGCTTGAATGGGTAAGGCCTTGTCCTCCTTGGATAGCTAACGCAATGTCATCTTCACGAGCTATGCAGGCATGTAGCTCAGAATTGCAAACCAGTCCTACTGCACTACCTACGCTGTCCCTACTGGCAAAACTTTACACAGCCAGATAGTTTTGCTTAAAGCTTAGAAGTTCAAGTTCAAAGCTTTATGCAAAACTATCATGTTCAAATTATAACATTACATATTATAATAGCTTTTAGAAGTAATTATTTTTATGTTTTTTAAAAATTATTTTCCTTAGTATATTAGTAGAAAATGAATTGTCAAAGATAAATTTTTCTATCCCACCCACCGCAGCTGGAGTCTTGGCTAGTTTAAACAAATGTGCCCCTTAATCTAGGTGTTATATATTCTTCCAAGATTCTAAGATCTAACGGTTGACGTAACATTTAGGGTCATAAAAATATTTGAAATGTGTCATTTAGGGCGGGAGAGAGCGACGGGAGACGAGGGTATCATTAGACATCACATCACCTGCGACATGAAATCTTCCGCGTTTGCAACACCTGAGACTCCGATCCAGCCCTTTTTCAATGACACAAGTACCCGACTAGATTCTCCGGGAGCTTGTGGAGCCTGGCATCTTTGCAGCACAAGATCAACGTCCCACAAAGCGTGGACAAGGAGTGACAAGAGTGATCTCAAGTGCTTGCCACGCAGTTGTGATCTTCTCTTTCCTTGCTTCCTGGAGCTTCGATCGGTGGCTGCTCAGAATGAAACAACCTCTACGACTTCCAGGTCAGTTTGTGAGTTTCGAGCATCAAAAGCTCATCGAATTGCCACCACCCAGGTCGTAAGCTCAATGGTGAGGAGGCTGGGAAGAACAAAGAACATTACCAGGCGAGCTCCCAGGACCAACAATCTATGCCAATGATGGTGATAGGCTTCTCATTACAGTAATAAACACTGTGAAGTACATGTTGTCGATTCATTGGTGATGAGCAGTCTCAAAAGGTCCAACACATTCTGTGATCTAATGCTCTGTCACAGGCATGGAATCTGGCAATTTAGAAATCTCGGTGTATGTCACGCAGTGTCCTCTCCAACAAGGCTAATCATTCCTTTACAACTTCACCGTGGATTCAGACATGTGAACTCTCTTCTGGCATGCACACAACTGTCTATGGAGCCATTGGCAGCCTGGAATGAATGCAATGAAGGGCGTTGCAGAACCTAGGGACTGGTTCAGTTTCAAGGGGGATCCTTGGAGGAAACTCTACCAGGTAATATAACTGAGGATTGATTAGCCTTGACATGTTGTGTTTTGCAGTCTTGCTTTGGCCTTGGAGACTCGCACTATGGTCTTCCATGACAACTGTGATGATACCTTTCTACTTGCTTCCATGGCAAGATGGCTCTCAGCTTTTCAGGTGCCGTGGGCTACTACCCCTGCACCACAACCAAAATATATCAATGTCATGAAGATGTTTCTTCACTTAAGATTTTTTCTTAAGAATTTTCCTAATAGATTTAATAAAAAAATATAAAATAATTGTAGATTGATTTAGTTAATTTTGCTATGGAACATTGACAGAAATCACTCTCCCCTCTCTTGGCACTCTGTGGAACCCTATTTTCTGATAGAAAAGAGATTTTTTTCAAGAATATACATAGTGGTCTTTCAAAAAAGGTTTATAAAAAGCAATAGTTTGTGACACAACATCAACCTCTTGCTTTTACATGTAGGCTTTTATGAGTTTTCCAATTCCTTCTCATGCCTCCTGAGATCTTAGCAAACAAATAATTCAGCCCACTCTTAGCTTTAGAGCTCAACTTCATGCTGCCAATCCAAATAAAAAATGAAATCAAAAGTAACTCATGTCCCCAGGAAAAATAGAAGCCATACGGATTCACTAATAACACCTATCAAACCAAACCATTTGTTTCACTTTGAGTTCTAATTCGGCTACTTAGATGTTAGATCCAGGATAATGTATATATCCTGGATTATATACATCCACATCACTGTGAATCCACTCATCTAGA